CCCAAACCCCAAACCCCTAAACCCAAGATCAGGGCGTAGTCGGGCGTTTGGAGGTTCTGGGCCTGAGGATTGGGTGGCAGAGGATTTGAGCTAAGGGCATAGGGCTTCAGGTTTGAAGCTCAGGGGTTTATGGTTTAGGGCTCAGGGGTTATAGGGTTTTGGGACTAAGCTTCAAGTTGGCTAGACTGCTTGATGCGATTCCGGACAACAGAGAGTTGTCCGTGCTGGCATCTGCAGAACTCTGGCTTTCCTGCCCGACAAGTTCTGCCAACAACCTTCGTAGTTAAGCTTTCCATACGATGAGCAGTTGCTGCAGTTCAGGGGACTGGCGAGATGGCCCTGTCCAGCATTCCTCCCTAGCTGTAACATTCTTTCCGTAGTATCATCTTTCCATCGGTAATCTTCCGCCCATGCTTCGGAAAGTTCTTGTGTCAGAAAAGACTTCAATCTCTGAACCATAAGCACCGAACCCAAGAATCTCAATCACCTAGAAACCGAAAAAAGCCTTGAGCCTATACTCGGCAGGAATACAGGATCCTCACAGCCCAAGGAAGAAGAACCAGATGTTTCTGAATTAAGGCAGGGTTTATGATAGCGCTTTTGGCAACCCGTGAACCTCAAATTCAACCCCGAAAGTTCCCCCAAGGAGTCGGATCCTCAGCGCTGCAGCATGCAGATGCATTAAGGGTTTAGGGTTTAGGGTTTAGGGTTTTTTAAATGCAATGGGCCTTTGACTCTCTTAGGGTTTCGGGTTTAGGCCCTGAAAAGACAGGAGTTACACTATGCAGATGCATCCCCAGCAGCTGGTATCCATACTTTGCAGCATCCTCCGGCTTCGCAGTCATGTTATCCACCCGGGCTGCCTTGCACTTCACATCCTTAGCCGGACTGAGGCACTCAATAAATTCAATGGAGATATGGGGGTTCCCGAACATTTTGGTACCTTACTTTGGGGTCCTCATAATAATAAGGATCCTACTATTTAAGGTGCTATATGAGGGTCCCCTATTTTTAGAAACCCTCATATGGGTAGTTGTCTTGTCTGAGGGTCCCTTAATTTTAGGTCCCCCAATATAGTACGGCACCCTTATAAAAAGGAGCCTAAAAGGGACGCCAGGTTAGAAAACTACCGATACGAAACCTGTAGAAACCCTTTATCTATTTGTAGAAAACCAAAACATATAAAAACTCTCTTCAAGATCCCACACTGTGCTCCCAGAAAGTTTCTGGTCCTCCTAGGGTTCAGGGTTTCAGCATGTCAGGGCTTAGGGTGCTAGGAATCTCGGATTTATGCTCATAGTCCCAAAGGGTCCTGAATACCTATTTTGTAGAACGTCGGGTTTCTATATTCGGAATAAGTATTATGAGTCGGGGAAGTATCCTATAACAGTACCTAGGACCTTTTGGGAGTTAAGAGTTTCCGCGGCCTCAGGGTGTAGGATTTGAAACTCGGAGCCCGGTGTGGGACAAAAAGGACACTTGTAATGTCGGGGCCTGCATGATTAGAATAAGCTTTTGGGCTCCTTTATACCATAGTTAAATAAGGAACGCTGAGCAATAATTTTGGGTTTTTAGGCTTCTATATTACCTGAAACCAGCTGAAGGTCAGACAGAACGTGGTCGATGCACCGTGGGCGGCATTTTTTCGTGTGCTTCGTGAGCAGTGTCTCACGTGGCTTCCCGTCGTCGTCAACCTGGCTGTGTGTCTTTGGGCTTGTGGGTTTAATCGAAAGGTTTGTGGCTTGCACAGCTCATTATCCTCAGAAGCGGTTTCTGGTTTGAAGGTTTAGGAGTTCAACAGTTCAACGTCTGCCCCCCCTGCCTGATTGGACTATATATGCCTGTGTCAGCATCAAGTGGGGAGGGGTTGGTAAGCAAGCCTCAGCCATCATAGCGACATGCGGAGTCCAAGTTTTGTTCCTTCCACAAGCAAGCCAAGCGGCACAACCGAAAGTAGGTGGGCAATCCGCATACTGGTCCACAAGCTTCAACTTCTCTTTCCTTAGTCTGGCCGAGTCAGGAATCCAAGACTTCAGGACTATCGGGAACAGTACTTGCGCCCACGTACCAGTGCTTCTGCCAAGTCACACGGGGAAGGACATCTAGCAACAGAGCCCCCGGTAAGCAGACACCAGAGAAACGACATATGCATCCTTGAATTTGGAGCTACCCTGCACGGTTGCTATTGCGCTGCCCGCCGTGGTTAAGATGTGCTTATACCTACCTGCGCATCCAATAACCTACCGTTTTCAGGGCTAGACCCTATAATTAAGGAGTCATACCCTAACCCTAAACCGTATAATTAAGGGGTCATAACCTAACCCTCAACCCAACCTATGCTTAAGGGGTCATAACTTACTATTTCCTTGGGTTTGGGGATACCGGTACGGCTTCAACGCATGGGAACTATCAAAGGCAGCTTGTGCAAGCTGGGCTCTAAAGCCGACATTTTGCAGGCTTAGGGCTTTTAAGGGTTAAGGGCTTGGGACTTAGGGTTTAAGGTCTAGGGTGTTTAGGGTTTAGGGTTCAGAATTTTTAAGGTTTCGGTTTAGGATTTAGGGTTATAGGGTTTAGGGCTTCGGTTTAGGGTTTCGGGATGGTTTCGGGGTTATATTGTATAGCTCCGCAAAACTGTATAGCTAATAGCAGCATAGACAGCAGTGAATGCTGAAGCCGGCTTGCAGCGACAAAGAGAAACAAAGGGACAGCTGCTGATGATGCAAATTCTGCGTTACCTTAAGGACCCTAAACTATGGGAATTATGGGATATGATATTCCTTGATATGGGTAATGCAGGATTGGTATCATCAACCGCGTGAACCTGCATCTTGGGAAGCTCCGATAGAGCCGCAAGCCTGAACCCGGAAGCTTTAGGTCTATTTGTGAGGGTCGGCATAAACCCTATAACCCATAAGCTAAAACATAGTATTGCAATCATCAAGGCCCTAACTATCTCATCGAAGAACTTAAAGCCTAAAGCCGTAAACCCTATAAGTGCCAAACAACACCCCATCAAGAACCTCAAAATCAAAAGAACCCTTCTAAACCCTACATCTCGAACCGGCAACTCTAAACGCTATAAGGTATAAGCACATGGACCCCTGAGGACTTGCAGCCAAGCTACGCCTGCTCGAAGAAGCTTTGGAGGGAATCCGAGTCCTCCAACAATGGTTTAGGGTTTAGGGCTGTTTCAGAACCCCTTCCCAAACCCTAAACCCTACACCCTAATCAACCCCTGAGAGCTTTCCCATAAGCAAGCTTGAGATTTGGAGCTCCCCGAACAGAGAGTTGATAAGGTTCAAGGTTTAGGCTTTAGGATTGGGGGGTAAGGGATCCCAATACAAATTGTTGCAAAACATGTCGACGGAAGTGGCCAGGTTGCATGGTTTGGCATCCTTGTCAGCTCCGGTAGAGGTGAGTCCTCTAGAAGAGGCCCCAGGAAGCTCAAGCCCTACCCAACGATTTCTGCACCACCCCAACAATATCTTGGCAGTCTGAACTTCAGATAGTATGGGGGGCCTGTTTTAATGATTGGAGCAGGGTTTTGGCGTGTTCTATACAGCAATCTTTCAGACCGCTGTATTAGCAGCTGGGTCCTTGCTGAGGTTGAAATCACCACAGAAGATTCCTCGATGCGTTTACTAGAGGGGTTGCGGGTTTGGGGTTTAAGGGCTTCTATGGCTTTCAGGGTTTATGGATAAGGGTTTTTCAGGCTTTAGGGTTAAGCGTTTAGGGTTAAGGGTTTAGGGATTGGGATGTAAGCGCCTCGGGGCTAAAGCGCGCCGGAAAGAGTTTAGCAGGAGTTTAGCGGTTCAGGGCTGAGAGTTCTAGACAGATCGAAATTTACCCCTGAGCCACCAGAAACCATGCTTCGGTTCTGGGTGCTACTTGAAGCAGGAGGCAAACAGTTCGTGCATGAGGCCTTCTCAGTACATATCCGTCATGCTGGATGTGGTTGTTACCCTGCTCGTGGTTCTCATGCCCTAAACCCTAAACCCCTGAAGCCCACACCCAGACAAAGAACGTCATCAACCCTGAGCCGCTTCGACTTTGTTTGTATGACTCAGCCTTCGGAGGGCCACGCAGCGAGCTCACGAAGCAATTCGGGGCCAGGATTTTGGGGATTCGGATCTTAGGATTCTCAAGGTTCAGGATCTCGGAGATCTGGCGTTCAATGGCTTAGGGCCTATGGGCTTAGATGAGGGACTCCGAAAACCACAAGGCAAAGGCATGGATACATGGAACGGATGAGGAATAGTGCTAGTGACTATTCCGACTTCTACATGCCCTCAAAAACTCTGGGTCGCGATACTTTCCGACAACAGGTAGCCCCTCGTGCAGGAAAAGGTGGTCAAGCCTGTCAACGAGTATGTCTGAACCCTCCACACCGATGAAGCCCGACAAGCCCTGCAAAGCATTCAAGTGTGGAATCAACCATCCAAACACCAGACTTCAAACGCCAAGACTCTCTTTCGACTGAAGGTACCTTCTTGAGGTGTCCTTGTGACAGGGGCCTTAAAATATCGAGTCTCCTTTTGTCTGAAACTCCCTGATGTGAAGCCCAGTTGAGGTGCGCTGATCAGCACCCTTCGAGAACTCTTCGAATTGGCGGAGGGCCTGGCGCGCACGGAAAAAGAGAGTCGGGTTTAGGGTCGTGCAGGGTCTAGGGTTCAGGACATAGAGTAGGATCCTTACAGCCTTGACAAAGCTCCAGGCTCTTGCTGTGTTAACGTGTTGCTGTCTAAGAGTCTGGTGTTGGGGGCCTAGGCCGGGTTTGCGAGTTTAGAGCTCAGGCTCAGAAGAAGCTGCCGCACGTTCGCCTGAAGCACATACCCGCCCTAAACCCTAAACCCAACTCGAACAGCTTTGCAGCGGGCTTGCCTCGTCGCCCCAGGGCTCCCTCTGCCCAGAATGTGTGCTCAAGCAAAGCCACGGCTGCGGGCTTATACGGTTTGGGGCTTCCACCCCGAACCTGGGAGCCTTAACTTAAGCAATGTAAAAGCCTCAATTTAATAGAATAAGGTTTGGGGGGTAGATGTCATAGTGTACTCACAACAAGTTACCCTAAGGGATAAACTTGGCAATTCTGCAATTCCATTAAAGGGTCCTTCGTACTGTAATTTTGGGGGGATACTTCCCTAAATCATGTCAACACCTGCATTCTACTATATATATAGGTACATAGGACCCTAAACCCTCAACCCTAAACCCTAGGACCCTTTGGGTGGTTAACGCCCCCGTGAGAAGCCAGCCCCCAGATCTGCGACGGAGGCCTCCTCGAGCTGCTTCAGGCCAGTAGGGTTCACCTGACAAAGTAGGGTTTGTGGTTTATGGCTTTGGGATGTTTAGGGTTTTGGTTCAGTTTAGGATTTAGGGCATAAGGCATAAGGTTTGTGGTTTAGGGTCGCGAAGTTTAGGGTTTGGAGTAGGCTTGGGTGTTAAGTTTAGGCCCTCGAGCTGCGCGATTTATCGTGTCGGGTTGAGGATTGCCGAGGGTTTAGGGCTTCCCGTTTTGTAGTAGTAGCGGCCCTTCAGACTCTCCCTAAACTCTCTCTCTCTGTCTCTCACGGACTCTCCCTAAACCCTTTTGCATCCAGGACTCTTTCTCCCTAAACCCTAAACCCCAAAACCCTTAACCGCCTAAACCCTAAACCCTCCGTTTTGCGTTGAGTCTGCCCAGGCAAACCAACCTGCCTTGGCGTTGCCTTCCGCAACCTGCTTCGAAAGATGCATGCCGGTTCGGACGACCTCCAGTCCTTCGGCGAGCGTGGAATCTCGTTTGCACAGTAGGATCTCAGAGGGTCTCACACACGGTTTTATACGTTTTATCTGGGATTTTTCATGGTTTAACAGGTTTTTGGGTGGTTTTGGAATATGCTCGCCAAGCTTTATGGAAGTTGTTCTTGGTCTGGGGTTTGATTAGAGTTCTTAGCACGGCTTTACATAGGAGTTTCTAGCTTTCTATGAGGGGATAGGGAGTTTGGGCAGGCGAGCTTGGGGCAAAGCGGTCAGCTTAGGAAATTTCGGGTGTACGTTTGAGCGTAGGATGTGGGCATTTTGCTTGTAAGGCAACACCTCGAAACCCCAGATGCCCCAAAATCTGACCATTAGGACTTTGCCTGTAAGCCCAAACCGCACCAAATAGGAGGTCATATGACCCCGGTAGTAAACCCCCCAAAAACGATAGGTTTCTGGATCTTCAGGTGGATGTTTAAAGCTGGAAGTAGGAAGTTAAGGGATCCAACCAGGCCTCTTCGCGTCGTTCCCAGGGAAAATCCGACTCTACGGTTCCGATCCTGTAGGTGAACCCCAAACCCTAAACCGTAAACCCCTAAACCCTAAACCCTAAACCCTAAACCCTAAACCCTAAACCCTAAACCCTAAACCCTAAACCCTAAACCCCTAACCCCTAAGCCCTAACTTGTTCCTGCAGGGTTTCGGCTCTGGGTTTTGGGGTCGTTTAGGTTGAAAGTTAGTGCTCCCTTAACCCTACCCATAGTATCCTGTCGCAACTGTTGCGGCCATCGTATTTGCTGTAACACTTAACCCTGTAGGGTAGGGATGACCTCTTGCCTCGAGTATTGCAGCTTCTTCCTTGGGATACCGGTCTTGGTTCCTACACGATCCCGTTGTAACCAAACATAGGAACTACAGCAGAGTAGACATGTATAGACAATCCCTACGGCCTAAAGGGCGCACAGTTTAGTTTAGGGGCACAACAACCACAAGAGGTATGAACAGGGCACGGCCGCAGGCTGCTAAGGCTGCGAATCGAAAACACGAGCAAACACGAAGGCCGCTTGTGGTTTCTGCAACATACATATGCAGGAGTACGGGTCAGGGCTTGGGTTTGGGGCTTAAGGGTCTGTCATGCCCTTCCCCGGTTCGAAATATCTCATCATGTAGTTGCATATCCCTCAATTCTGATCACGATTTCGCTAATCCGTTGGGCGGGGGGGGGGGGGGGGGGGCGGATTGGATCGAGGATCCGTGTATACCCACCTTCATGATACATCGAAGCCCCTTGGTTCCGAGCCTGCTGTGGTGTGCACGTTAATCACGGCGATCTTCTTGTTTTTCCTCAGCAGCTTCCAGTTCTTGGACTTTCGAAGGGGTGAGGGGTCAGAAATAAACAGATCAACCAAACCCGGCACGGTTACCAATGATCGAACATGCATCAACACAGAACCGACAACAGAAACACAACTTGATTTTTTTGCTCCTGTCTGTGTGCAGGTTTCACATCCAAGATGCGGTCCATCCAGCTCGACCTGTAGGCGAAGGACAGTAAATTAGGGTTTAAGTTGGCACCGTACACATGAGATGTGTGTGTGTGTGTGCATGTGTTTCTTTTGTGAGGGGGGTTGGTGGCGGTGGGGCCTTAATTATGTTAAACCCTAAACCCCATACCATCCCTAGTTGTTCTCGGGTCAAGCGCCCTCAAACCAGGTTGACTTTTGGTGGGGGCTTTAGGGTTTTGGGTGTAGGGGNNGGGTTTCGGGTGTCGGGGTTTAGGGTTTCGAGTAGAGCAACTCTTGAATTGGCTAGAATTCGAGAGGATGTTACATGCAATCCCACAGCTCGGCCTGAGCGTCAGCTCAGGGTTTAAAAGTTTGCAGCACAAACCTAAGTGAGGGCGAATCCTGAAAGTGGACAGCGCAAGCCCTGAACACCACCTTCCCACAAAGCTAGGGCATCCACCATGAGAGCGCCACGTTGGACAGCACTCCACTCAAACCAGGATTGGCGAGAGAAAGTCAAGAGCTCACTCCTGCTCCGATGTCGTAGGGCTTCGGCATTTTAGGCGTAGGGCTAAGGTTCGAGAAGATGGTCTCGGGTGGCTGTGCGGCTGAGGGTGCGGGGCTTGAAAGCGCAACAATTTTGCATTACTGTGGTATGCCTCCAAAGTTCCTTCAGAAGCTGCGGTACCACACACACACACACAAACACGCACACGCACAAAAAGCCTAAAGACTTGTGGCAACCGGACGCTTTCATGAATAAATGTAGACAACTTACCCATGTATGCATAGAGAGAGAAAGAGAGAGACAAAGAGAGAGAGAGAGAGTGGCGTGCGTGTGTGTGTGTGTGTGTGAGCAAAGGAGAGGTCGTCATACTACCTTGAAGCCTGCTTGTAAAACCTGGAATAGCTTTTGCTAATTACAACACTTTGAACCCTACTCACTACGGCGTAAACCCTACTCCGAAACCACGACACGATGCTCTAATGGAGGACTTTTTTTGTGGATTTGGTGAACGTTGGAGGCATAGGGCTCCTATGCCCTATTCAGAGGCCTCGATAATTGGACTATGGTTTTGAGGGACTTCATATCCGGATACCCTGAGAAAACGTGAAAATTACTTCTTGCCTTGGCAGAATTACTGCTACTAATGAGCAGAACTATTTCTACTATCATCATAGTTGCTATTCACACAAATATTGCGACACTTTTGGCTAAAACCCTAAACTCCTAAATCCTAAACCCCTAAACCCTTCAGCTCTAGACCCTTACATGTCACTCCTCGGGCCTAAGCATTGAGAAAAGAACCCACAGCCCGACAAAATAACCTGAACTCACGGGTTCTTTCTTGACGAGCACTGCCAACCTGACCGTTTCATGTAGGGTTTCGGGTTTAAGTTTCTT